GGTGCAGGCATCCCAAAAGGTGGCTTAACCAGCTGTACCACGATACCTGCCCTCAACAATTTGTGCTTTTCATCTGGATGCTGGAGCAAGGTGGGTAAATTCCTCTCTTGTTCGGGACCTTAGTGAAACCTTGTTGTGGGAGTGGTTAGGAGAGCAAGTTCTGGTTTTGATCCAGTTCTTTTTTTTCTTTCCAGAAATAATTTTTATTTATTAAAGTACAGTTTTAGAAAGTAACACATAGTAGCACGAAGCTAACATTTATTTATTATTTCAAATATAGGAATTTATTTAGAAAAATTTATTATTTGAGAGACAGAGAGAAAGAGAGCACTCTCATCTGCTGTTCACTCCTCAAAGGTCTGCAATTGTTGGGACTGGATTGGGTCTGGGCTGAGGCCAAAGCAAGGAAGCGGAAATGCAACCGAGGTCTCCAGGCAGGAATATGAAGACCTGAGCCAATTATTGCTGCCTCCCAGGATCCACAATGTCAGGAAGCTGGAGTCAGGAGCTGGAGCCAGGAATTGAACCCAGGCACTTTGATGTGGGACTTAACAGCTGCTCTAAATGCCTGCTGTGAGACTAATCTATCTATAGGCACTGGTAGCCTGGTCTTCTCATTCCTTGTCAGGGAGCTTCTCTAACTGATGGTTGAGATTTCACAAATGGATCTGAGCTCCCAAAATGTTCTTGCTTTAAGTAACAGCTGGAAGACTGGGTACATCACTTGTTTCCTTCATCATTTGGTTCTTTCTTGTGAACATCTGAATCACCGCAGTAAAACTGCTTCAGATCAGATAAGACATCTGCCGCGTTCCTAAGGGAACATTTTCTCTTCCGAATCCATCACACTCTGTAGTTGTTGCAGCTGTGGTGCTAACCAAGGCAGCTCATCCTGGACACCGATCAAACATCACCTTTCCTGTGCGATATCCAAAATCGTCTTCACATTCTTCCTTTTCAGATTTCTCAACATCTGGACTGCTTTATGCATGTTGATTAATTCTTCTTAATATTAGAATGAAATTTGCTGATGACTTCCTTGCAAACTTCATTTCTAGTCTTTGTACTCTAAGAGGATTTTCTCAACTGCAAGCAAATCAACATCCACGATGTCTCTGGCTTTTTTTTAATTTTTATTTATTTATTTATTTATTTATTTTTTTGACAGGCAGAGTGGACAGTGAGAGAGAGAGACAGAGAGAAAGGTCTTCCTTTACCATTGGTTCACCCTCCAACGGCCACTGCAGCCGGCGCACCGCGCTGATCTGAAGGCAGGAGCCAGGTGCTTCTCCTGGTCTCCCATACGGGTGCAGGGCCCAAGGACTTGGGCCATCCTCCACTGCACTCCCTGGCCACAGCAGAGAGCTGGACTGGAAGAGGAGCAACCAGGACAGAATCCGGTGCCCCAACCGGGACTAGAACCTGGTGTGCCAGTGCTGCAAGGTGGAAGATTAGCCTATTGAGCCGTGGTGCCGACCTTGGCTTTTTTTTTTTTTTTTTTTAAGATTTATTTATTTATTTGAAAGGCAGAGTCACAGAGAGGCAGAGGCAGACAGAGAGAGAGGTCTTCCATCTGCTGGTTCACTCCCCAAGTGGCCACAATGGCAGGAGCTGTGCCGATCCGAAGCCAGGAGCTTCTTCCGGGTCTCCCATACAGGTGCAGGGGTCCAAGCACTTGGGCCATCTTCTATTGCTTTCCCAGGCCATAATAGAGAGCTGGATCAGAAGAGGAGCAGCTGGGACATGAGCCGGTGCCCATAGGGGATGTCAGCATCGCAGGCAGAGGCTTAGCCACAGCACCAGCCCAATGTCACTGGCTTTCTTTCTTTTTTTTTTTTTTTTTGGATACCAAATATGAACCCTGTCAGAAATATGTCAGACTATGGTTTCATCTCTTAGTTTCTTCCTTTTGCGGGGACACCTCTCTTTGTTTCTGAGTTTTTGATTGGCTTTCTGTCTTTTGCCAGAGTCTCTTTATCCACACAGGACCAGATACTAAGGGGTCCTATCTTAGGAGTGACTGATTTGGCTGTTGTTTGTTTGTTTGTTTTTTGTACAGGTTCTGGAGCTACTGTATTTCAAGTAGCTTCACATTGTCATATATTTATTCTTTCTGCTGATTTAAAATTTCTTCTTACCTTACTTTCTTCTGAGCTTTCAGACTCATCACTAGTAGGCTTGAGTTTTCTTCCTGGCTTTTTTGTACTAGTTATTATTATTATTTTCTAATTTGAAAGGCAGAGAGATAGATAGACAGAAATCTCCCATTTGTTGGTTCACTCCCCAAATGCCCACAACACTGGAGCTGGGCCAGGCCAAAGCCAGAAATTGGGAACTCAAATCTGGGTTTCCCTTGTGGGTGGCAGGGACCCAAGCACTTGAGCTACCACACTGCCTCAATGGTCAGGGCTGGGCCGGGGGTCAGAACCTTCCTCTGGGTCTCCCATGTGAGTACAAGGGCCCAGGGACTTGAGTCATCTTCCACTGCTTTCCCAGGAGCATTAGCAGGGAGCTGGATCAGAAGTGGGGCAGCTGGGACTTGAACTGGTGTGCAGGCGGCAGCTTTACCGGCTTCACCACAGTGCCAGTCCCAGGTGTCACAGTCCTTCAGAGAAGTTGAGAGACTGTAATAAAGGTGGGAGGGAAGAAAGCAATAAGGAACCAATGAGCAACAGGAGGAGGGAGAAAGGGCCAGGCAGTTGTCCATGACCTGGGGAAGGTATGATGGGGAGAGAATGCCTCTCTTCGTGTCTCAGGTCTCCAGCTGATGCTTCTCATTGCCCAGACCCCACCTGAGGGCCAGAGAGCCCAGTGGTGGAGTCTAAGAGAGTGAACTTGCAAGGGCACTAAGCAGGCGGAAAAAATGAACACGGATCTGGAAGTGCAAAGAAAAAAAAACATCTAGGACAAATATCAGCCAATTAGATGGAGGAACGCCAATGTCTGTCACCCGCAGCTCCCAGCGATATCCTAGGACAGTCAGCAAATATTTGCAAAGCAGATGAATTAGGCAAGTAGTGAGCCTGTTGTGATTCCCCTGTGATGCCATAAAAAGACACTTCTACAGTTTTCAAAATTTTAAAAAAGTATAGGCTACAAACTTCTTTTTCTATTTTAGTGGTTACATTATAATTATACATATTTATGTGGTGCAGTGTGAGAATTTGATACATATATACAGTGTACATAGGATCCTCATTAGAAAATAAAAGTGTGTGAAGAACTCCAATAAAAAATTGATAACCAGGGAGGCCAGTGCTGTGGCATAGCAGGTAAAGCCACCGCCTGAAGTGCCAGCATCCCACATGGACACCATTTCAGTCCCGTCTGCTTCTCTTCTGATCCAGCTCTTTGCTGTGGCCTGGGAAAGCAGTGGAAGATGGCCCAAGTCCTTGGGTCCCTATACTCGCGTGGGAGATCCAGAAGCTCCTGGCTCCTGACTTCAGATTGGCACAACTCTAGCCAATTGGGGAGTAAATCAGCAGATGGAAGACCTCTCTCTCTCTCTCTCTCTCTCTCTCTCTCTCTGCCTCTCCTTCTCTCTCTGTGTAACTCTGACTTTCAAGTAAAGAAATAAAGCTTTTTAAAAAAATCAATAACTAGATAAAAGTAGAACTGTCTTTGTTTATTTTAAATTTAGTTTTATATGTATATATATTAACTGACAGATAGAGTTAGATAGTGAGAAAGAGAGAGAAACAGAAAGGTCTTCCTTCCTTTGGTTCACTCCCCTAATGGCCGTCATGGCTGGCGCTGCACCAATCCAAAGCCAGGAGCCAGGTGCTTCCTTCTGGTCTCCCATGCTGGTGCAGAGGCCCAAGCACCTGGGCCATCCTCCACTGCCTTCCCGGGCCACAGCAGAGAGCTGGACTGGAAGAGGAGCAACCGGGACTAGAACCTGGCGCCCATATGGGGTGCAGGTGCCACAGGCAGAGGATTAACCAAGTGAGTCACGGCGCTGGCCCGAGTTTTATATTTTTTTGAAAGGCAGAGTTACAGAGAGAGAGAGATGGAAAGACACACACACAAACACACACACACACACACACACACACACAGAGAGAGAGAAAGAGAGATCCTCCGTCTGCTGGTTTACTCTCCAAATGGCCACATAGGCTGGGGCTGGGCCAGGCTGCAGCAAGAAACCTGGAACTCCATCTGGGTCTCCCATGTGAGTGGCAGGGGCCCAAGCACTGGGGTCATCTTCCACAGATTTCCCAGGCACATTAGCTGCATTGGAAGTGGAGCAGCCGAGACTTGAACAGGTGCTCACATGGGATTCTGATGTCGCAGAGGGTGGCTCAACCTGCAGCACCACAAAGCAGCCCGAGCTTTCCTTGTTGAATTGGGAATGGAGGGTCAGCTACCCTTCTTACCTGGCCCTCTTGCTGCCTCAAGCCTCTCCCACCCTTTTCCCATGGCCTCTGTATTAGTCTGCATTGCTAACTAAAATGCACTAGAGGAACTTCTTGGGGGTTGACAAGGCTTAGTCCAGCTTACAGTTTAGAGGTTACCAATCAGTATCGGGTGGCACCTGGTACAGGCTGGTCATGTTGGATACAGAGGCACAGTCACATCATGGAGATGGGAAGCAGGATGAGATCAGTCAGGCCGAACTTGAACTCAAAAAACCAATGCTATCATGAAACACTGTCCACGGGCCTGCCCCCAGCAACTTCCAGACCTCCTGCCATGCCCACCTCTCAGCACCATCATCAGATCAAGTCTCCACCCTGAACCCATGAACCCGTAAGAGTAAGACAGCAGAGTCCGAACATCTGCACGAGTGTGGGGTGAGACAAGGCTGCTGCAGCCACAGCGTTCACTAAGGGGCTGCAAGAAATGAGCGTGAGAGCCCTGGGGCTCCCTGGGGCTCCATGCAGTTCCTCCGAAGGAGGTGCTACCCCAGAAATGCCCTGATGGATGGTTCTTGCGGACCGCCTTCCTCTGTTGAACATTCTTCCTGATCCTCCGGGTTTCTCTTCTCCCTCACCCCACAGGTGCTCAGGGAGGCTCTGTGGCCAGGGCCATTTTGGACGGCAAACATTTTGCAGTCAGGGCATTGACCAGAGATGTAGCTACGCCCAGTGCCCAGGCGCTCCGGGACCTTGGTGCTGAGGTGGTGAAAGGCGACTTGGAGGACAAAGCGTCTTTGGAGGCTGCCTTAAAAGATGTCCATGGAGCCTTCTTGGTGACCAACTTCTGGGACCACCTGAGCAAGGAGAGGGAAGTGTCTCAGGTGAGAACCAGTCTGTGTCCTCCTTCCCCTTTGAGCCTGCTGAGGCTTGAACATGTCCCTAAGGTTCGCTTGTTGAATCTTTTTTTTTTTTTTTTTTTTTGACAGGCAGAGTGGACAGTGAGAGAGAGAGACAGAGAGAAAGGTCTTCCTTTTGCCGTTGGTTCACCCTCCAATGGCCGCCGCGGCCGGCGCGCTGCGGCCGGCGCACCGCGCTGATCCGATGGCAGGAGCCAGGAGCCAGGTGCTTTTCCTGGTCTCCCATGGGGTGCAGGGCCCAAGCACCTGGGCCATCCTCCACTGCACTCCCTGGCCACAGCAGAGGGCTTGCCTGGAAGAGGGGCAACCGGGACAGAATCCGGCGCCCCAACCGGGACTAGAACCCGGTGTGCCGGCGCCGCTAGGCGGAGGATTAGCCTGTTGAGCCGCGGCGCCGGCTTCGCTTGTTGAATCTTAATCCCCACTGTGAGATGCAGTGGTGATGGAAACTTAAAACTAAATTAAATTAAGATTTTAAAAAGATGATGGAAACAACCCAGCTGCGGTGTTGATAGTGGGGCTTTGGGAGGTGAGTAGGGAAAGGCAGTGGGGTGGAGCCTCCATTATGACTCCTGGTGGCTTTTTTTTGTAAAGATTTATTTATTTATTTGAAAGGCAGAGTTGAGAGAGAGAGATAGAGAGATTTTCTTTTTCTTTCTTTCTTTTTTATTTTGGACAGGCAGAGTTAGACAGTGAGAGAGAGAGAAAGAGAGAGAGTTATAGACAGTGAGAGAGAGAGACAGAGAGAAAGGTCTTCCTTCCATTGGTTCACTCCCCTAATGGCCGCCACAGCCAGCGCTGCACTGATCCGAAGCCAGGAGCCAGGTGCTTTCTCCTGGTCTCCCATGTGGGTGCAGGGCCCAAGCACTTGGGCCATCCTCCGCTGCCCTCCTGGGCCACAGCAGAGAGCTGGACTGGAAGAGGAACAACCGGGACTAGAACCCGGAGTGCTGGCACTGCAGGTGGAGAGTTAGCCAAGTGAGCCATAGTGCCGGCCCAGAGAGAGATATTTTCTATCCGCTGGTTCATTCTGGCTGCAGCAGCCAGAGCTGGGCCAGTCCAAAGCCAAGAGCCAGGAGCTTTTTCTAGGCCTCCCACATGAGTGCAGGGGCCCAATGATTGGGGCCATCTTCCACTACTTTCCCAGGTGCATTATCAGGAAGCTGGATTTGAAATGGAACAGTTGGGACTCAAAACAGCACCCATATGGGATGCTGGCACTACAGGTGGTAGCTTAACCCGCTGCACCAAGATATGGCCGCTCCGGGTGGTTTTAGAAGGAGAGACACCAGAAGAGACACGAACACGCTCCCTGTCTGTTGCCTTGTGATGCCTGGCACCACCCAGGGACTCTGCTGGAAGGCCAGCGCCAGATGCAGGCCCCTGAGCATCCAGGACCATGAGCCAACTCAGCCTCTTTATAAAGATACCCACCTTTAGGGATTTCATCATAGCAACCAAAATGAACTTTACAGCACCCTCCCTAGCTACTTCTGTCCTCCCTGGACAGGGACAGGCCTTCGGTCTGAATAAAAATAGAAAGCCCGCCCCTGTACATCCCTGTGCTATTTATGAAACGTGTGTATTTTAGGTATTTGCTAAAAGTGTCTTTGATTGTGAGAAGAATGTTATGTGGCACATGCAGAAATCTCCAGAACTGGGGTATTTGAGATTCTTTGCGGTGCCAATCATCAGAGTCTCATTTCTCCCATCTATTTGTAGACAGCATGTGGGCGTGGCAGTAAGGCTCACTCACACAGATTAAGGTTACTCTGAGAGCGAAGCGGGAGAATAGAACGAAAAAAGGGTTTCAAACTTCAGGCAGAGAATCTGGAGATAAATTAGTAATGGGTACTTAGAAAAGAAACAAGCAAATAAGCCCACAAGGATTAACTCCACGGAAAATCAAAGTATATAGAAAAAGCCATTGTAACCAGGAAACAACAGGGCTCAACTTCAGCTATGTGTGAGCACTGAATATTTTTTTTAAAGATTTATTTATTTGAAAGTCAGAGTTATACAGAGAGAGGAGAGGCAGAGAGAGAGAGGTCTTCCATCCATTGGTTCACTCCCCAATTGGCCGCAATGGCCAGAGCTGTGCTGATCCGAAGCCAGGAGCCAGGAGCTTCTTCCAGGTTTTCCACAGGGGTGCAGGGGCCCAAGGTCTTGGGCCATCTTGTACTGCTTTCCCAGGCCATAGCAGGGAACTGGATCAGAAGCGGAGCAGCTGGGACTAGAACCAGCGCCCACATGGGATGCCAGCACTGCAGGCAGCAGGTTTACCCGCTAACGACACAGCACTGGCCCCGAGCATTGAATATTGATCTAGCCCCAGAGTACACTAAAATGAACCAACGGGAACTGTGCATATGGGTGATGATGGTGGGTGGCACTGGTGGCCTCTCGTTCATAACCTGAGTATATTTTGATGCCAGATGTGTGCCCCTACCACGTGCATGCAGACAATAAGAAAAGGAGAGGTGGGCCGCGTGCAAAGGCAGTGGCTTACATGAAGGATTGCCTTGGGTCCCTTAGGGGAAGCTGGTGGCAGACCTGGCCAAGCGCCTAGGCCTGAAGCACGTGGTGTTCAGTGGCCTGGAGAACGTGCAGAAGTTGACCGGGGGCAGACTGACCGTGCCGCACTTTGACGGCAAGGGAGAAGTGGAGGAGTACTTCTGGTCCATCGGAGTCCCCATGACCAGCGTCCGCCTGGCAGCCTACTTTGAAAACTTTCTCACCTTGTGGAAGCCCGCCAAAGCCTCTGATGGAGACTACTACACCTTGGGTAAGTGGTTGCCGTGTTGCAGTGCCTACTCTGTGCACAGCTCTGTGTGAAGCGCTGAGAGGGATACCAAGTTGCCCAGACGCCCTCATATGCGGCTGCACTACCAAGGGCAGAGAACGTCACTGAGACCTAAGGCACAGAGGGTCACACCTCCGGCCTCTGCTGACCTTCCTGTGCAAGGCGTTGGCATGAGACCCGAGTTTCAGTCTCCGCACATCACTTGGGAAAGCTGGGCGAGGAGACCTCTAAGAGACCTCTGTCTCCTCCATTTGTCCTGCTTTGGCAGCAAGCGAGGAGAGACCTTCTCCTCCCAACCTAGGTCCCCTGTTCAGCATTAGAGCCCAGAGGGACGGGGCTCCGCCCACACGGAGCTTGCTTCTACAGGTAAGGGTGGAGGCCTGCAAGACTGTAATTTGAACCAATTCCCCTGCCCTGTGGGAACATGTTCTTTGGCATGGTCATTGGTGGTCCCCTGTGGAGTACAGCGATCTGAGAGTTTCAAGGGCACCAATTCGACTCTTCCTTGACAGGGGATTAAAATTCATCAGAGTGACCCTCATCGCCATGACCTGGGCTAGATGGGAGGATGACTGAACTGAAAGACAAAGTATGCCATTTAGTCTCTGGATAGTAAGCCTCATGCGACTTGCATACTGCACCGACACTTTGATCCTTGCCCTGGCCTGTTGCTTTCTGGCTGTGAGGCCCTGAGCCTGCCTCTAGATCCACCCCACAGTGGGTTCTAGCCCCTGGAATTCTAGGAATCTGTTGAACGCTGTAGGTCAGGCACAAGCTCTGAAGCGAAGGACAAGAGTTGGAATCCTCTTTGCTGCCTGCTGGCCAAGCAACCCTAAGCAACGAGTCCCATGTTTTGGGGTCCTTTCTGGAATAAACCAGTGGATGTCTTTGTTCACTGGCTCATCGTTCAGCACATTTCGGAGGGCCTCCAATCTGTCAGTCACTTACTAGGAACCCAATAGGTACTAGGAAACAGTCAGAACTCTGCCACCTGGAGCTCACGTTCTGGTGAAGGAGACAGCAAACAAAAATCGACGTCAATGAGCAGGGTCTGCGCAACGCCAGGAGGTGCTCAGTGCGCCAGCAAAATCAGGGCAACATAAAGGGGCCACGCAGCATCTGAACAGGTGATCAGGTTGGTCTCTGGGAACCGCCATCTGTGCACCTCCTAGAGAACCTTGTGGGTTCTCAGGGGCCGTTTTCCAGGCAGAGGGAGCTGCCTGTGCGGCTGGAACAGAACGAGTGGGGGGCGGGTGGTAGGGAGTGAGATCAGAGGGAACAGAGGGTCTTTTTTTTTTTTTTTTAAGATTTATTTATATTTGAAAGTCAGAATTACAAAGAAAGAGGAGAGGCAGAGACAAAGAGAGAGGTCTTCCACCCACTGGTTCACTCCTCATTTGGCTACAACTGAGCTGTGCTGATCTGAAGCCAGGAGCCAGGAGCTTCTTCCGGGTCTCCCATGCAGGTGCAGGGGCCCAAGCACTTGGGCCATCTTCTACTGCTTTCCCAAGCCACAGCAGAGGGCTGGATCAGAAGTGGAGCAGCCGGGACTCGAACAGGTGCCCATATGGGATGCTGGCACTGCAAACAGTGGCTTTACCGGCTACACCACAGGGCCAGCCCCAACATAGAGTCTATTTGTGTGAGACTTCTGAGCCACTGGCTTTTTCTCAGAGGAACCTGGAGTTACAGAGGGCTTCGGGCAGACATGACAGGAGCTGACTTTAGTTTTGACAAGATCACTCTGACTTCTGGGTTGAAAAGAGACGCTAGAAGGGCTGGAGAAAGAAGGAGACAATTCTGCCTTCTTCCAACTCGAAGATGCTGGTGGCTTGGTCTGGGGCGGTAGCGACGGGCATGGTGAGAAGTGGGCGGGTTCCAGACATGACGTGAGTCAGAGTTCATAAAATATAGATGATGGGATTTCAAGGCTAAGGCCAAGATTTTTGATCTGAAAAACTGGAAAGAGTTGCTAGTAACTGAGATGGGGAAGCCTGCGGGGGGTGGGGGGGAAGCAGGTGACAGCAGGTGTGGGCGTTCAGTCTGGGGCTGTTCTGTTTAGAAAGTCCATTAAACAGGCAAGCAAGGACATTGAGCAAGAAGAGGAATGCTCAGATGGAAATTGAGCGGAGATGCCCGGGCTGCAGACGCAATCAATCACACTGCGCACACCGCCGATGCGTCGTCGTCAAGGCGTGCTCTCTTTTAGCCGGCACCCAGGTGCGATGGTGTCTTCCGCAAAAACCTTCAAACTGTGCAGAGATTGCGGCCAGTTTTTCATTGCCTCTTCACACTTTCGGTTTAAGAGGTTGATTGCTTCGGGCTGGTGGGACCTATTAAGGATGCGATGTAATTAACTGTTTTCAATCTTTTTTTTTTTTCCCTCCCAAATTAGCAATACCCATGGGGGACGTGCCGATGCACGGGATCTCCGTGGCTGATGCTGGAGCCGCCATCCTCAGCATTTTCAATTCTCCAGAGGAGTTTCTAGGCAAGGCCGTGGGCCTCAGTGCCGAAGCACTCACAGTACAGCAATATTGTGATGTTTTTTCCAAGACTTTGGGGAAAGATGTTCGAGACACAAAGGTGAGTGCCTGGGAGACATCGGTGTGATCACAGGACACCATCATGGTTAACATTTCCGCCAATGTACAAATTCTGGTAGGCTTCCGGGGTGAACCCACCCAAAGTGGGGCTCAGGCAGGGTTGAGCTCGATGGGTCAGAAGCAGCTGAGCAGGACTCCAGTTCCACAAATCTATCTTCGCTGGCTGATGCAGCTGCAGCCCGTGCAGATGGCTTGATTTCTTTGGCACAAGGTTAGTCAGTTTATTGAAGTAAGATTACTTTTGGGTGGAAAGAACTTGGGAACTAAAGACCGAGGCAGAACTTTTGCGCATGCTCTGTCCCAACCCCTCTCCCAGGCGCTCACTGCTGGTCCTTGCAGTCCACAGAGCCAGCCGACCAGGCACGGCCCTGGCCTCTCTCAGCCTCCACTTCCTCATCTGTAAAGTGGGGAGAATCGAATCGACCTCAGGATTGTTCTTGTAGAAGTTAGAATGGATTTAAAGGGTTTACCACAGTGTTTGGCATGTAGCAGGTGTGTGTGTGTGTGTGTGTGTGTGTGACCAGTGGTTGTTATGTACCCGGTGCTATCTTTAAACAGTTTATGGCAGAAACGGGGTGAAAATGTCAACGTCCCTATAGTCCCCATGGTCATCAGAAGACACAGCGCCGCAGGTGCTGCCATGGCTGGGACGTGGTTTGTCCCCTGGAGGTTCATGTGTTGGAGGGCGGGGCCCCCATGTGGCCATGTTGAGAGCTGCTGGGGTTTTTATGAAGTGGGATCTCATGGGAGTTGCATAGACCACTGGGCACTGCCCTGTGAAGGGAGTAAGATTGGTCTTGCTGGATCGGAGTTACTTCCTGCCAGAGGGGTTGCTACAGAAGAGTAGGCCCGGCCCCGCCCCTCACTCACCACGTGGTCCTGCCTTGCATGCCTGTGAGCCTCCAGGACTGTGAGCCACATTAACCTCTTCTCTTTATAAAGCACCCGGCCCCAAGTATGTCCTTAAATAGCAGAAGGCAGGCTGCTCCAGGTTGTCCAGTTATCACTGTAATAAGTGACCAGAGAAAGGCAGCAGAGGGCTTCATGCAAGAGGTGGAGGGGAGCAAGGGGGCTGCCGGGTGAGGACTCTGTCATCAGCACCAGTGACCAGAGGCACTGCGGGGGAGAGCCGAGTCTTAGAAGTGCAGAATCTTTTGTTTGTTCTTTGAGTCACAGAGACAAAGAAAAAGAGAGATGAAGACAGAGAGCTTCCATCCGCCAGTTCACTGTGCAATTGCTTGCAACAACTGAGGCTGAACCCAGGAGCCAGGAAGACAGTTGATGAACGCAATTACTTGAGCCATCGCTTCTTCCTCCCAGGGTCTGGGTTAGCAGGAAGTTGGAGTTAGGAGCCAGAGCTGGGAATCAGACCCAGACACTCTGATGTGGGTGCAAGCATCTTAACCTCTGGGCTAAATACCTACTCCTTGTTTGTGGGATCTTCACAGCTTTCTTAACCTCTCTCAGCCTTGGTTGCTTCCTGTGTTTAGAAAGCGTTCTCAGCCGGCGCTGCGGCTCACTAGGCTAATCCTCCGCCTTGCGGCGCCGGCACACCAGGTTCTAGTCCTGGTCGGGGCACCGGATTCTGTCCCGGTTGCCCCTCTTCCAGGCCAGCTCTCTGCTGTGGCCAGGGAGTGCAGTGGAGGATGGCCCAAGTGCTTGGGCCCTGCACCCCATGGGAGACCAGGAGAAGCACCTGGCTCCTGGCTTCAGATCAGTGCGGTGCGCCGGCCGCAGCGCACCAGCCACAGTGGCCATTGGAGGGTGAACCAACGGCAAAGGAAGACCTTTCTCTCTGTCTCTCTCTCTCTCACTGTCCACTCTGCCTGTCCAAAAAAAAAAAAAAAGCGTTCTCATACCTCCCAAGTAAGATTGTTGTGAGGGTGAAATGAGACACATATGGCAGGAGGTTGGCACTGGGTCTGGCACTTAGTTATGTCCTCAGTAACTGATCATACAGGAGTAGCATAGACTGTAGAAAAGTAAGAACAGGGACCAGCGTCGTTGTATAGTGGGTTGGGCTGCTGCCTGCAGTGCCAGCATCCCATTTGGATGCCGGTTCAAGTCCCGGCTGCTCCACTTCTGGTCCAGCTCCCTGCTAATGCACCTAGGAAAGCAGTGGAAGATGGCCCAGCACTTGGGCCCCTGCACCCACGTGGGAGGTCCAGAAAAAGCTCCTGACTTCGGCCTGGCCCGGCCCCAGCTATTGCAGCCATTTGGGGAGTGACCCAGTGGATGGAAGATCTCTTTCTCTCTCTACCTCTCTTTCTCTCTCTGTCACTCTGCCTTCCAAATAAATAAACCTGAAGAAGAAAAGTGAGAAGAATCGGTACTGTTGAACAGTCCCAGCCATTTCCCCACGCAGGCCATTTTCACAACGCCACAACAGAGCTGAGTGGCTCTGACAGAAACCAGCTGGCCCACAAAGCCTGCAATATTTGTATCCAGCCGTTTAAAAGCATTTTTTGTCAGCACCTGCTGTGGAACGTTTCCTAGAGTGGGATAGGAGGCAGGTTCTGGTTTGCATCAGTGAGGCTTCAGGGGGTATCTGGGTTCCCAATTCAGCCTGAGGTTCTAGAGCTGTGCAGAGGCTAAGAGCTCTTTTCTTTTCTTTTCTTTTCTTTTTTTTTTTTTTCTGGAAAATGACTGTAGATGACAATGCCGTGGCAAAGCTACGTCTCGGCATGTCATTGAACCACACAACATTTGGTGGAGAAAACAAGTCACCTCCCAAGGCTAGGCAGGTGGGCATGCATGTTTGAGAGGGGCTCCCCAGAGGGTCTTTAGGGTCTTTTGCACCCAGGGTGCAGTTTTACTTCTCAGGGACCTCTCTTCTGGGCACCTGCTCTTGGGGCTCAAGTTCGTTGTATCGTGTGGAGTTTGAACTCGGCAAGGAAGGAGAGGAGGGGGAAGGTGTGTGGGGGTGTGTGCGCATTCTCAGGGGCTTGTTTTGGGTGTCTCAGGACCTCCCAAGCATCTCCCAGTCATCCCAACTGTTCTTGGGACATCAAGTTGTTTCATAACGCAGCTGAAGCTTCCTTGGCATCAAAAGTTCTAGGGCCTTCGAGACCAGAAGTTCCACAGAATGGTTAACGCTGGTCTCAGGAACTAGGTTGGCTTGAAAATACCACCCACAGTCTCCCGTGGGGAAGTGCACAGGTGTTTTGCTATTTCTGGGGAAAATGCAATTGGCCACAAGGTGGCGCTCCAGCACGTTCAGTCTAATTTCTCTACCTCCCATCGCCCAGTTTTTTGCCTCAGGGAATCCGTGGCCAGAACAAATGTCCACCAACAACCCTAGTCTGGGTGAAACTGTGGTCTTACCCCAGAAGGAGCATGGTTGTAACAGACAGTGAGACACAACAAAACCCATTCTCTGCGCTAAAAATCTGCTGCAAAAGAATTCCTTATCTTACTGCGACATGCTAGCGATCAGTTAGCAAGATGACTCAGAGATATTTTCAGTCATCGTCCATGCTTCTCCCACAGAGTCTTCTATTACAAACTCACTTAGAGCTCTTAACTTTTTAATTTCAAAAATTGCAAATTCTTATTATAGAAATAATTATGAAAATTGAAATTACACATAGCTCACTCTCATATAGGGATAGAGTGCCATGGTCTCCTTCTAGTCTTTTCCCAGTATAACTAGATATTTAATACATTTAAAATAACACTATGTGCCCCATTTCGTGTCTGACCTTTTCATTTAATGTTGTATTATGAGCATTTTCCTATTTGGTAAAAAAAACCAATAATTTGATTTTTTAAATGTAAGTTTAATTTTATTTTTTTGTCCTTAAAGTTTTATTGTATAATATTTGAAATAATACAAAAAGAATTAAAAAACATTAATTTTAGTATCTGCATAATATTCTTAGAGTAGATGTACCACAAATAACCATGGACATGTAGGCTCTTGTGTCTTTTTATTATTTTTTTTTTTTAAGATTTCTTTCTTTGAAAGACAGAGTTACAGGGAGAGGGAGAGACAGAGAGAAAGATCTTCCACCTGCTGGTTCACTCCCCAAATGACTGCAATGACCAGAGCTGGGCCAATCTGAAGCCAGGAGCCAGGAGCCTCTTCCATGTCTCCCACGAGTTGGACTCTCTCCAAGGACTTGGGCCATCCTTTACTGCTTTCCCAGGCCATAGCAGAGAGCTGGATCAGAAGTGGAGCAGCCAGGACTTGAACTGGCACCTATATGGGATGCTGGCACTGCAGGCCAGGGCTTTAATCCGCTGCACCACAGGGCCAGCCCCTGACTCTTGGATTTTTAAATGGTATATGACAACCATCATTTTTATATATTATTTGTGTCTGTAGCATTGATTTTTAAAAAAAATCTGAGAGGGAGAGGAAGGATGAGAGAGAGGGTGAAAGAGAGAGAGAATTCTTTTTTTTTTTTTATTTTTATTTATTTATTTGACAGGCAGAGTGGACAGTGAGAGAGAGAGACAGAGAGAAAGGTCTTCCTTTGCCGTTGGTTCACCCTTCAATGGCCACCGCGGCCGGCGCGCTGCAACCGGCACACTGTGCTGATCCGATGGCAGGAGCCAGGTGCTTCTCCTGGTCTCCCATGGGGTGCAGGGCCCAAGCACTTGGGCCATCCTCCACTGCACTCCCTGGCCACAGCAGAGAGCTGGCCTGGAAGAGGGGCAACCGGGACAGAACCCGGCGCCCCGACCGGGGCTAGAACCTGGTGTGCCGGCGCCGCAAGGCGGAGGATTAGCCTAGTGAGCTGTGGTGCCGGCCTAGAGAGAGAGAATTCTTATCTCCTGGGTCACTCCCCAAATGCCCACAACAGTTGGGGCTGGGCCAGGCCAGAGCCAGGAGCCAGGAACTCAATCGAGGTCTCCCATGTCAATGACAGGAGTCCAATGACATGAAACATCACAGCCACCTCCCTGTTAGGGTCCACACTAACAGGAAGCTGGAATCAGGAGCGAGAGCTGAGAACTGAATCCAGGTCCTGCTATGTAAGATGCAGGTGTCTTACCCACTGGGGCTAAACAACTCTTCCTTCCGTCAAGGTTTTGATTTTTTTTCTTAGACCACATTTTTGAGGTCAGAATTTACTTCTAGGGGCTAAAAAGATTATATTGGGTCAGATAGAAGTGGTTTTTTGCTGACTCAGTGAGAACATTAGTGATTTAGTTAGAGCCTGAAAGGATTCAAGGTGTAGATTCATGGGCAGTGACGAGGCAGCTCAGGGCCATGGGGTGTGCTCCCTGGCTGAGCTGGGATGAGTGGAGACTCAGTGCAGCTGTAATAAGAAGGGTGGCGAGGGTGGGGGCAGGTGTACCACATGGAGGGGCAGCTGGCTCATACACTCCCCGGAAGGCTCCTGGGGGAACCCCAGGAAGAAATGCACATGAAAAGCACACGAAGCGTGGTGAAGCTCCACTGTACCTTACCCAAAACACCCGGGGCTGGGAACTGTTTTGCTTTCAGAATCTTGCAGTTTTCTCCTAAGTTAAGTTATAGCCTCCATATGGGATGTGCCATCACCAGCAGGGACTGGGGCGGGAGCTTGTTATCAAACACATCCGTATCTGTACAGAAAGGTAATTGACTGGTTTCACTAAATGAGATAATTGAAGCCCATAAGTAGCTTCCTGGGGCTCACCTTGGCCACCAAACGTGTCCAGAAAAGTCAGTTTGCAGCCACCCAGCTTCTGGGAAAAGGACTTTGGATTTTAGGGTTAGGCACACGGATTGATGACTTGTAGCATCATTAAGGTGAATAATATCTTCTCAAAATTCTTTTGAATGTGGGCTGTAACATTTCCTGCTCTTTTGTTCTTCAAAGATCACGCCCGAAGCTTATGAGAAGCTGAGCTTCCCGGCGGCGAAGGAACTGGCTGATATGTGTCGTTTCTACCAAATGCAGCAGGACCGTGATGTCGCTCTCACCCACCGACTAAACCCCAGAGTCAGAAGCTTCAACCAGTTTATCTCCGACAACCTAGGAGCCTTCAAGGGCTTGTAGGGAATGAGGGGTTCAGATGGCCCCCACCCCGCCCCCAGCACCTGGCCTGCTTTCTCTCTCCGTCTATTCTTTTTGCAGCACAATATCTGCATTGATGCACCAGCGATGCTAGAATGCCATCATCTGCAAGATCAAAGGATTCCCTGGAGCCCTGGCTTTGATGGGCAGCACTGCATTTTGTGACCCTGCACGGTGATTTGATTGGAATATCTTTTCAGCCAGTGCTAAGGGTGACATGAGAAGCCCCAAATGGATGTCATCTTTTGTAGCTCTCTCTCCCCAGTGACCAAGTCACCTCTGGGGCTCTGGGCTCTGGGAGGCAGCTCTGCTAACAGGAATGCCAGCCCACTCAGCTTTCTCCTGAGGGAGTCATCTCAAGCCCTAGGTAGCTCCATTTTCTCAAGTCCATTGCAAAATTCTCAGTGAATGTTGAATTCGATATTTAAAAATAAACATCACTGTAAACCATTGTAGAGAATTTTCTGGGCACCCTGGTGTTCAATGAACAAGCACGAGCCTTGAAAACTCTTAAGTTCACTTTTGCTCCAGAGATTGGAAGTTCGTTCTCTGAGTCATTCCGTCAATCATCTGTTGAATTGTCCTTCAATCATTTTGGTATCCATTCATCCGTCTATTCCACAAACGGCTGCCATTAGCACCAGCACTGGAATCGTCTCTTTGCCAAAGATGCTGTGGTTCCTTCCCAGTTGGTGCCGGGCCAGGGAAGAGGAGCCGTGCAACCATTTGGCTCCAAGGGAAGCCTGAAGGATCTGCAGGGGGTAAAGGCCAGGAAGCTGGGGGCAAAACCTGGGAGGAGTGGGGAAGTGGGAAAGGAGACGTTGGAAGAGTTCCCATGGGCCTCTGTGGTTCTCTGGCTTTGCATTCCTACACTGCGTTGTAATTGTCTGCCTCAGTGGCCTCCTTCTTGACAGTGAGCACTTCGCTCTTTATCCCCAGTGACTGGCACATAGAGACGATCAGTGGATGTGGATAGACTGAAGCAGCACATAAAATTGGTTGAGTACATAAGAGAAACCGGGGCCAGTGCTGTGGCGTAGTGGGTGATGTGACCGCAGCCTGTGATGCCGGCATCCCAAAGCTCCAGCTTGCTACTGATGGCCCGGGAGGGGCAGCGGAGGATGGCCCCAGTGCTGGGGCCCTAACATCCACATGGGAGACCAGGATGAAGCCCCTGGCTCCTGGCTTCAGTCATGGCCATCTTGGGGTGTGAACCAAGCAGATGGAAAATCTCTCTCTTTCTGTCTCTTCCTCTCGCTGTATAACTCTGTCTTTCAAATAAATAAATGCTTTAAGAAGAAAAGACAAACCATCAGGTGCATAAGGTTGGGGAGGGTGCTAAGAACCAGCAGCTGATATTTTGAGGGTCACAGGTTGTCTCTGGGGAGAGGAGGGAAGCCCCACTTCCCCGAGGTGGCAATGTGTGTTGCTGGGAGCAACTGAGCGAGCAGAGGGATGGCAGAGCCTGGTGAAAGAGGGTCTGACTTGGTGGGGGGGGGAAGGGGAGACACGGCTCTGTGATGCCAAACCCCAGCCTCTGCTGGCATCATGTTGAGTGAATGGTGCTGACGTTGTTGCAAACTGCTGGGGGCGGGGGGTTACAATGGAAGTGCATTTGAGGAACAGGTTCCTCTTCAGAGTACGAAGCCCTGTAGCCCTAAGCTGAGCGGCAGCTTTGGTGCCCAGCCCTGGGAAATGGGCCTGAGGAAATTTCTAAAAAGGGAAAAGAAAAAGAAAAAGAAAAACAAAACTCCGAGCTAAAAATAGGGGGCTTATTACTCATCTGGGTGGGCCCGGCAGGAAGGATGGCTGCTGTTCCCTTAAATAAACCTCCGGCTCCCCCAGATGGAGAGTGGCGACGGCCCCGTGGCATGGCGGGTCAGCTCTGCCGGCCGGCAGTTTGGTTCTGTCTGTTCTGGGACAAGCCCGGAGGAGCCATGGGCCAGCCCTGACCACCGTTCCTGGAAAGCAGCAATCTTTTCAGGACGTAGACCCAGCCGCTGCAGTATTTGGTCAGTCCAAAGGAGACCATGCATTTTAGGGACTTCAGTCTCACATAACCAAGAGGAGGAGAACTTCCAAAGTGTTTACAAGCGGTCGCTTCGTGATTCCCATATCCCGTACCAGACAGCAGGTTGGAGTCTCTGCTCTTCTCTTTCCTAACCAGCTCCCTGCTACTGCATCTTGAGAGGCAGCAGATGTGGCTCAAGTGCCTGGGTCCCCGCCACCCATGTGGGACACCTGGATGGAGTTCTGTGCTCCAAGCTTTGGCCTGGCCCAGCCCTGGTTTTTTGCAGGCATTTGGGGGGGAGTGAATCAGTGGATAGAAGCTCTCTGTTTAGTAAAGACATGTTAATATTTGTAGGCGGTGGACAATGGATTCCACCACTGCCCCGTCCTTCTCTCCTCCAATAGCCTCCTTCAGAAGTTGCTCAGGAGAGAGATTTGGGGACCAAGGGAGGCGCGGAAAGCAGACAAGGGGCTGTGCACCCCGGTGAACGTGCACACCCCTCAGTGGTCTGGGAACTGGTTAGAGGTGGATGACGGGAGTGGGGCTGATGGAACACAGGCGATTTCTGTTATTCTAGAAAATTCCCTGGAAATCTAGGGTACCAAACCCGCTCATCCTGGATGTGACTGCACCTGCCATGGCCGAGCTCTTGAGAGCTTAGCCAAGCCACTTCCAGCCTTTGGTTTCCTCAACCTTCCAAGAGGCTGGATGGAAGAGCAAGAGGCTGAGGGTGTGAGAAGCGCTGTGGCAGCACGCAGGCGGGAAAGAGCTGTAATTGTTATTGGCCACCTTCCTTCATAGGGCGCCCCCAGGTCCAAGCCGCCCGCCCCGCTGCTCCATCCAGGCCTGGGGAACTGCAGGTTCATCCCCGCCTCCCCGCCCCCGACACCCGCCAGGTGTCTCCTCCCTCCCCAGCTCCCTTATCCCGCCACTAGAGGGCAGGACGAGTCCAGCATGGCAAGGGATCGCCAACCTCATTCCAGGTGGATTTTTCCAGGAGCTTTTTCCGTCACAAAGGAGTCGCAGGGCGCACCTCGCAGCTCTTGGGCATCACCTGCAGGGTTATCGCATCAGACACGTGCTGGCATCACCTCTGGGCCTGGCTGTGGGATCAGGCGCCTTCCCCGTGCCTCTTTGGGATTAGGGGAAGGAAAGGAAGGACCAGGGTATTACCCCAGAGTCTGCATCCAGCACTGGTGCCAAACGCAGCAGAGCAAGGCCGCCAGGGACCAGGCTATGCCTTCTCCAGGGAGGGGCCCAAGCCCTGCGCCGCGAGCGCGCAGCACGCGGCCCCTCCCCACCAGTAGCCGAGCCCCTGTGCTTGCCTTAGCCACCGCCTGTCACCCGCTGTCCTCTCTCCCACCCTGGGTACGCTTGCAGCTCTGAGGTGCCAGCAAGACTACACAAGTCACCCAGAGGAAGCTGGGAAATGGAAAAGCCTGGACCTCCCCATGGAAGCGAGCAGGGCGGGCAGGAACGTGCAGTTGATAACATCTCGGTAAACGCCGTTTAGAATTTGGTAGAATTTCTGAAGGGCTACCCAGCTGCGTGCTGCAAAGAGGGTTGGAAATGCATCCTTTACTTGGTGATGCTCCTTCTAAGAACAATAAGTAAACAAATACAAATGCAGATAAAAATTACATTTTGGGCCGGCGCCGTGGTTCACTAGGCTAATCCTCCGCCTTGCGGCGCCGGCACACCAGGTTCTAGAACTGGCGCCGGATTCTGTCCCGGTTGCCCCTCTTCCAGGCCAGCTCTCTGCTGTGGCCAGGGAGTGCAGTGGAGGATGGCCCAAGTGCTTGTCCCTGCACCTGTACGGGAGACCAGGAGAAGCACCTGACTCCTGGCTTCGGATCAGCGCAGCGCACAGGCAGTGGCGGCCATTGGGGGGTGAACCAACGGAAGGAAGACCTTTCTCTCTGTCTCTCTCTCACTGTCCACTCTGCCTGTCAAAAAAAAAAAAAAAAAAAATGAAATAAAGAAAAGAATTACTGAAGTTTAAAAATCTCTTAAAAACTTAAATTCTTGAGAACTAGCATTTGTGAAGAATTTTTACTGAAAAGTCTATTGTTTTAAGTAGAAATACTGGATGTCAAATAGCATTATATTTAGCTGAGTCCCATGTAAATTTTTTAAATTTATTTTTTATTTTTGACAGTAATTCCTTTCATCTTGAACATTTTGCTTACTTCTTTTTTTATCCTCTTGAACATTGCTTCTGCATAAAAATCCTCAAAATATATATATATTTTAAATTTTTGACAGGCAGAGCGGACAGTGAGAGAGACAGAGAGAAAGTCTTCCTTTTGCCGTTGGTTCACCCTCTAATGGCCGCCACGGCCAGTGCATTGTGCTGATCCGAAGCCAGGAGCCAGGTGCTTTTCCCATGCGGGTGCAGAGCCCAAGGACTTAGGCCATCCTCCACTGCACTCCCTGGCCACAGCAGAGAGCTAGCCTGGAAGAGGGGCAACTGGAACAGAATCTGGCACTCTGACCGGGACTAGAACCCGGTGTGCCGGCGCCGCAAGGCAGAGGATTAGCCTAGTGAGCCACGGCACTGGTGAGTCCCATGTAAACTACACCTGTACACAGTAAAATCTTGGGAGGAAAAATTACTAACATATTAGACAGTAGTGAAATTTTGGTTGGTATGTATTTTCTTCTTTTAAGTTTCTCCTTTTACTTAGCTTTCCATAATAAAAATGCATTAATTTTATGTTGAACTTTTTTTTTTTTTTTTTTTTTGACAGGCAGAGTGGACAGTGAGAGAGAGAGACAGAGAGAAAGGTCTTCCTTTTGCCGTTGGTTCACCCTCCAATGGCCGCCGCTGCAGCCGGCGCACCGCGCTGATCCTGGCAGGAGCCAGGAGCCAGGTGCTTTTCCTGGTCTCCCATGGGGTGCAGGGCCCAAGCACCTGGGCCATCCTCCACTGCACTCCCTGGCCATAGCAGAGAGCTGGCCTGGAAGAGGGGCGACCGGGACAGAATCCGGCGCCCCAACCGGGACTAGAACCCGGTGTGCCGGCGCCGCAAGGTGGAGGATTAGCCTATTGAGCCACGGCGCCGGCTTATGTTGAACTTTTAAAAAAAGATTACTAGTTTGAAAGTAGAGTTAGAGAGAGAGAGATTCCATCCACTGGTTCGCTATCTAAATGGTCACAACAGCCAGGACACAGCAGGAGGATGCCAGGAGCCTGGAACGCCATCAGGGTCTCCCATGTGGGTGCAAGGGCTCAAGAAGTAGGGCCATCTTCTGTTGCTTTCCCAGGTGCGTTAGCAGGGAGCTGGATCGGAAGTGGAGCAGCCAGGACTCAAACTATGTCTATTTGGGAAGCTGGTGTTGCAGGGTTTGACTTAACCCCTCATGCCACAATGCCAGGCCCTATGTTGAATTTTTATGAAAAGTGATTTAACAAATATTATAAATTGCTCTAATTCTTCCTTAGAGTCAGTATAATGATGGTTATTTATGAGTGTTTCCTCTGAACAAGTTACTATGCTAAGAGCTGTGCATACCGTACATACTTCCAATAAATCTCTGCACCAGCACTCTAAGCAAGATTGTCTCCTCATTTTACATATAAACACACTTCAGAGAGTTTAGGTGACCTGTTCAAAGTCACATAGTTATTCGGCAACAGAGCTGAGATTTAAATCTAAGTCCGGAAGCGGGCAGTTGGTGCAGTGGTTACGACACTAGTTTGGATGCCTCATCCCTTATCAGAGCGCCTGGGTTTGGTGCCTGCCTTTGGCTGCTGACTCCAGCTTCCTGCAAATACAGGCCCTGGGAGGCAGCATATGACGGCCCAAGTACCTGGGTCCCTGCCACTCAGGTGGGAGGCCCAGAAGGAGTTCTGGGCTCCTGGCTCTGGCCTGGCCCCGCCCTGGCTGTTGCAGGCATTTGGGGAGTGAAACAGAGGATGAAAGAAGATCTCTTTCTGTCTGTGTCTCTCTGGCCTTCAAATGAGACTCAATAAAATAGACAATTTAATGTTAAACCAAAATATGTATGTCGCCTAATTCCATGAGCCTTTTAGAACCTTGATCAATGCAATTCTCAAGTTATGAAAGGAGTTGGTCGTCGAATTCATTCAGAATCCAGTTGTTTGGAAGTTGGACACTTTCTTTCTTTTCTTTTTCTTTTTTAAAGATTTATTTACTTGAAGAAAGAGTTACAGAGAGGCAGAGAA